AAGGCAGGAAGGAAGCATTCTGGTGTTGTTTCTAGTCTAATCTTTATTGCTCTGCCTACAGAAACTGCCCCTCCGGTTAACCCTGATTCCATTGTCACAGCTAAGGCAAAGCGCCCATTGATGTGAGTGGCATTGAGTTGGCCATGCCCACATGCTCACAGGACCACCGAGCCCCATCTACCCAGATGGTCAATAGATGGTCAATAGGGCAGAGAACCGGTTGTTAAATTATTTGAATCCCACCACTGGTGCAGGCTTAGATGGGTGCATGTGTCATCTCTCTCACAGGAACTGCACTGATTACTGATTTGCTTCCAGGTCCAGTTCAAGGCGCAGATTTCCACCTTAAAAACCCACAATGGCTCAGGACAATGTTATTTGAGGGCCATCCTTTCCCGGTCACATCTACCCAACCCACCAGAGCAGGGAGGCAGGGAGTGCTACAAGTCCCCTCTCCTTAGGAGATCCATCTAGCGGGAACAAGAAGAAGGGCGTTCTTCAGAGTGGCTCCCTCCCTTAGATTGCCCCCTTCTTAGGCACTCCTTCACAAGGCCCTGAAGACCTGGTTTTGCCAACAGACCTGGGGTTCCCAGTGCGGGGATGGAGATCATCCCATGCCTCATTTGATCATTGTTACCAGGGGTGGGTGGGGTTATTTTGTTTTATTGTTTTTATATTGGGTTTTTTTTGTTGTAAGCTGCCCAAACTCACTGAGAGTGAGTTGGGCCATATAAATTTTCTTAAATAAAAAAGAGAAAGAAAGCAAAAGAAAACTGAAGATAGATCATGAGCACAATCATGGTTTCACTTAGTGACTGCCAAGTTGCCAGTCCCAATTTTTGTCACTAAACAAGAACTGCAGCAAACAAAGCAGAGAAGTGAAATTAAAATTGAATCAAATATTAGTTTTTTGCTTGAAGATTTTGTTCATTTTCTCTGTGTACTAGTACACAGTTAGTTATACTATATCAAATAATTAATTACAAAGAATTACTCACCTGGAACACCTGGATGTCCTTGTTGCCCCTGTAAGCCAGGTAAGCCTGGCAACCCTGGCACACCTGACAGACCTTGTGTTCCTGGCGTCCCTTTGTCTCCTTTAGGTCCTGGCGTATCTAGCCCAGGGATACCCGGGTGGCCTCTCTCACCTTTGATTCCTGGTGGTCCTGCAGGAATCAAAAAGAGGTTTGGAAACAAAATGTTTGACACAGAAAATAGTATATTGGCTACTAAGCCTGAAAGTGTGAAGGAAAAATGCATTTTCAGCTGCACATCTGTAAATCTTGGGACACACTGAAGTAAATAGCAGAGTCAATTGTCACATCTTCAGGAATAGACAAGGACAGGTAGTCAGACAGAAAGGAATAAGGTGGCGCAGTGGTTAGGGTGCAGTACTGCAGGCCACTTCAGCTGACTGTTATCTGCAGTTCAGCAGTTCTAATCTCACCGGCTCAAGGTTGACTCAGCCTTCCATCCTTCTGAGGTGGGTGAAATGAGGACTCGGACTGTGGGGGCAAGT